CCAGGTGGTGCTAGTGGTAAAAAAAAAAATCTGCCTGCCAAGGCAGGAGACACAAGAGATGCAGGTTCAATCCCTGGGTCGGGAAGATTCCCCTGGAGAAGGAAGTGGCAACCCACTCCGGTATTCCCGCCTGGGAAATCCCATGGACAGAGGAGCCTGGCGGGGTATGGTCCGTGGGGCCGCAGAGAGTTGGCCACGACTGAGCAGCGCAGCACGTGGGTCCCGAGACCCCCAGCTGTATTTATTTCATGGTTACTTTCTACTCCACCCCAACATGAGCACGGGACACCGCTGGTTTTCTTCTCATGCCAGTTTCCAAAGCATGGGAAGCCGTGGAGGAAAATCACGGGCTCGGGGACAGAAATGCCGATGCCCACCCTAAGGCAAATGGCACAGGTCCTCCAGGACTGTTTCTTCATCTGTAAGATGGGAGCACAAGCTGCGTGGATCATACCTACCACAGGGCTTGGCAGGCAGACATGATTGGCCGTCCAGCGAACAGCCAGGCAGATGTCCTCTGCGGAGGCTGCCCCCAGGCCCAGACCGCTGCTTCCTCCCCGGGACAGCCCCAGGCAGAGGGTAGGAGGAGAGGGTTGAGGGTTAGCTGCCCCCCAGACCTAACCACTGGACGCTACAAGCCCCCGACGAGGGACCTGCCTGGCCTCCCCTCCTCTGCTTCACTCTTGGAGGCAGGCCGGGCCCTGCGGCTCTTCCAGCTGCTGGGCAAACTTCCTGCTGTGTGCTGCACCCCAGTCTTCACAAGCCTTTGAGATACACAAGAGGGCTAGATCCGGGAGAAATCTGACATTCTCGGAGATTACCGGGACATGTTTTTCAGAAGTAGCTGTTCAGAAAGCAACATGCCAGCAACCAGGGCAGTTCAGGCCTAAGATGTGCATTCCCAGTACCCATCAGTGCCCTGGGCCCCCAAATGACCACAGCGGGGATCTCCTTGGCACAGCCGGGGGAAGGAGAAAGCAGAGGGATTGTCCTAACAGCTGGAACTGTTACCCACTGGAGACGGGACTTGAAAGAATTACTTTTGTGTGTGGGGGAGGCATTGACCAATGAGATAAAACAGTATTTGATTTTTTTTTTTTAATTGCAATTTTGGAAGTGAAAGAGGTTAATAACCACTTCATTTGTCAGACAGTTGGTAAAAACTGGACCAAAGGTGCTAATTGGGGCAATTTGTAATTGATTTCCTAGTCTTTTTGATATTAAAGGAAGACAAAGGATGTTTGAAGGTTTAAAAGAGGGGAGGGGAGCTAACTGATTCCAGACATCTAATTAGTGATGCTGGTTATGACATTAATTAGGGCAGTACTAAAGGGAGCAGGGTGATTACCACTCCACCCTCCCCACTGAGGGAAAAGCAAAAAAAAACAGATCGTGGCAGCCTGGGGCCCGGTAAGAGCAGGGCCGGGGGAGGGAAGCCTCCAGGCCAACGCTGTCCAGCATGGTGGCCACCAGCCCAGGGTGGCAGTGGTGAGAGGTGGTCCGAGCGTCTGCCCCGCATTTGGAAGGCAGAAGCGAAGACCGCCCTATCTGCTGTTTATGCTGCTCACACACTGAACTAATCTTCCGGCTCTGTGGCATTAAATCAAGGCTCTTACTAACATTACGTCCACCTGTTTCTCTTCACTGCTTCCTGCGGCTCCTAGAACAGGCCGCTTGCATCTTGCGATTGGACTTGGCGGGCGCGGGCGGGTAGCGGCCCCAGGTCCCCGGGGGGGGGGACCTCCTGGGCTCCCCGCCTCACCGAGTCCACGGGGCCGAGCTGTGTATGCACGGTTTAAATTAATTTATACAGAGACGACTATTTTACTAGAATTCCGCCGCCGACTTCTAGATTTTTTTTTTTTTTTAAACCGTAGATGCCATAAACGCCCGTGTAGGGGACAGAAGCGGCGACGTCGGGGACACCCTGATCGCCCGACCTTTTGTTCTCCGAGAGCTGGATTTTCTGAAAAGGCGAGCGCCCAGGGGTGGCCCCAACGACTCCGTCCTTGAGGAGGACTTGGTTTCCTTTCCTTGAAATCAGGCCTGCGCGCCCCCCGATGCTCAGTAACAGAAGCGCTTTTTTGGAGGGGAGGGGGAGCAGTTATAACATCTCCAGATACCCTCCACTTTGCGGAGATCACCCCACCCGAAGATGGTCAGATAGATGGGCCAGCCCGGGAAGCCTCCTGTGTTCATTGCCCATTTTAGGTTCTTAAGGCAGAATTGATGATTTAAGTTCCCTGAATGGACGACAACTCCACAGTATTCAAGTCATTCATGAGTCTCATAAAACGTTGTTCTTTTCATTTAATCCTTGAATACAAACATCGACAAGCCAAGACCAAGGGGGTGAATGTGGGTGTGCTTCTCAAGTACATTCACAAAGTTTTTATTCCCTCCTAACCCCGTGAACTCTTGAGAATAGCACCTTCAGAATATATTGAATAGGCATTAAATGCAAAAATATATATATATATATAGCCAGATATTTTATGAGTGACAGGTGGATGATTTCCGTGCCCAATGGATTGGCTACCCCTGTCAAGTATGATGACAAGCAAAGTCCCTCTGGCCCACACAGACCTGTAATTCCCTAGGCTCGTGTTTGCTACCAGTAGTGCTAATAAAGTTAGTTAAATTGCATGTGCAATATGGAAACTTGTCAATGGACTGCGCCTCGCGGAAGAAAACATGCTAAAGGGATGTAACAAAAATGATGTACACGTCTTCAGCATTTTCTGCATTTTCTACAGAGTAAGAAAACTCCATATGAACATGTCATGTGTAACAGGTAAACAGGAATCTTTTTATAAAGCACCAGCAGTGTTTTTAAAATAAACTCCTATTAATTTTTATTTTTATACTTTTGCTTCAAGATTTCACTTTTAAAAATCCCGTCATGGCTCCGAAGTGGATCAGTGCATTGAACCACACTTTTTCAATCTGCTCCTCACTATAAACACTCCCTCATTTTGCTGCTTTTTCAAAGATGGTTTACTTTTAGGAAACTGTGTCCACCTTTCAGAGTGGAAAGGTTGTTCCCCAATGTCTTCAACTCACTGTTCCTAGAATCAGAGTGCACCTACATGTACTGCTGTCAGAATGTGAGAGACCTGCCGCCCAGCCAGTGTCACTCTGAGGACCTGTCTGCTTCCCTGGGGTGGTTCAGTTGCCTTATGGTACAGTTTGCAAATTTAGGAACATGTGTTTTGCAGTGAAGAGGCGAGGTCAGAAGAATCCAGTGCGTACACCTCTACATTGCGCTTAGCCATACCTCATGAGCAGCTTGCTCTGAGTGTAGACACAAAATAAGCCTGGGGTACTGTTTATGCTGTCAAGACCCGTAATTAAACCCGTGATTCCTGGAAGGTGCAGGTTTGATGAGCAGGAGATTTCACTTGACATTTTTCAATAAAGTATCGTAAAATGCGTTTGTGTCTATCTTGTTATTAATCATTGGGGGCTGTATAAATAAATACAACTGTGAGGACTTCTGGAGCAGTTTAAGACCAAATGTTACTGTCAGAAAAGAAAAACGTTACAGATTTATAAACCTTAACATAAATAGGCTTAATGATGAGGGTATGTGTACTTGAAAAATAAAATGTGTACTAGGAAAAACTTCCTTGCCTAAACAAACACTGCAGTTTTCATAATCTAGAACATGAAGGAAGATTCCCATGCAAGCTGGCTTCCAGGCGGACAGCAACTCTGCAAAGTTAGCAGGGCAGTTACTACGGCAACCTGACATTGTTACCTCCATCTTTTAGTATGCACATTTAAGCTTGGGGATGTTGTTTCTCGACTTTTGTGAGGCTCTGGAAGAGAAAGTGTGTTAATAAATATGCATGTCTTTCACAAAAAAAGAAAAATGTAGTGATTCCTAACATGTTGACAAAAAAATGCCAGATGAAATGGATTTCAAAAATAAGCCCAGTTCAAGACCGGTTTGGCCCTCCTTCCACTGGGCCTCCAAGGGAAAGGAATTCCTTTATGTTCTTGGAAGCCCTTTCTAGAAAACCATTCCATTCATACCTTTAGAGAAGTGAACAGGGTGTGAAGTGTTGCTCTGAGGAAATTTGCAAGAGCCTGTATTTTCTGATCCCTCACCCCCACCCCTTTGATCATACTAAGTCCAATGGCCATGCCTTCCTCCCTTGGGTCCTAAGGATGGGAGAGGTTTACTCCATCAATGAATCCTGTATAAAGTCGACTGTAGTTTATGATGGCTCAGACGGTAAAGAATCTGCCTACAATGCAGGAGACCCGGGTTTGATCCCTGGGTCAGGAAGATTCCCTGGAGAAAGGAATGGCTACCCACTCCAGCATTCTTGCCTGGAGAATTCCATGGGCAGAGGAGCCTGGCAGGCTCATGGGGTCGCAAAGAGTTGGACACAACTGGGCGACTAACACTTTCAAGATGGTTAAGGTAGACTGTGGGGGGGCTGCTCCAGATAAAAGAAAAAGTTCAAATAAATTCCATAAAATTACTGTGGAAATTTTAGTGAATTGTAGCTCTTTGAGTTATCGAAGATGCATTATTCAAGCTATTCCTAAACTTAAGTATGATAAATAAGGTTGAAATCTTGGGGAAGAACTGTGGAGACAAAAGTCAAGTAGTTCTCACGAAAGAGGAAGAACAACTGAACAAGAACAGAACATGTTCTTGTATTTGTTGTTAAAATTTTTAAACTAAAAAATTTACATTATTAAATGTATTTCTCACTTTAGTTAAATTTTTTTGAACTTTTGGGGTTTGCTGACTTTCATTCTTTGGAGTAATATGACTTCTCTTTTGTATGATACATAACACATTTTCCACAACTATATTTTTAAAAGAGCAACCAGCTTCTTAATACTTAACACATACCTATTCCTTATGATGTAAAACTATTTATTTTTTAAAATGTTTAAATATGAATAAAAAATATTGTAACCGAAAGGAATTGCTTATTTTGACAAATGAAACATGGTAAAAATAAAAAATAAGCCCAAACTACAGAGAAAGTCTCAAAGTTTATTTTGGTAGGCTTGCTTTTTATAGGCATCGGTTTAAAGTAATTACGTTTCAGAGATGAGTCTTTGAAAAACTAAAAATGCAGAGGTTTAATGCTTTATTTCAAATATGCATAGTAGTTAGGAATACCGGTTTCTCCATTCTTTGCCCATTAAGACCAAACAGATCTACAGAATGCAAGCCCAAAACATCTCCTTTATGCATTCTGAAACGGTCGGCTGCGGCTGGCTTCTCTCCTGGTTCCCAGATTCGAGGGTGAGGGTTGCCCACGTAGTCTTCCCCATGTGTGGAGGGGGTGGGGTGGGGTAGGGTTGGGGGTGCGTGGTATCCCACGTGTGGGCCTGTGGCCTCCCCCTCCTTGGATGACTTGCTCCCACATCAGGCAGTCACCATGCTGTAGCAGAGAGCCCCCGGGGGACACAAATCCTTCCGAATGTGCCCTAGCACTGTACATGCTGCCAGGATGACCAGTGCCAAGGAATGCTGTGGGGGCAGGGGAGGGGGGCACGGGAAGCCCAGCTATTGCTGGGTCCTATTCTAGAGTTCCTCTGAAATTTGCTACCAGCCCCAAGGGGTTGACGTCCTTCCTGCCTTTCACGTAACCTGGTAGATGCTCAATGCGCAGCCTCTACACAAGGGCACAATTCAAATATCCCCAAAGCACATGCCAATCCTGAGTTTAGGTGCTGTGTTTTAAAGATTAAGAGGAAAACGCAAAGTTTCTCGTTAAGACTCTAAAGCTCCTTGAGATCCTAGATCGCTGGGTGCATAAATTGCACCCAAATTGATGAGTGCGGTGTAGCAAGTTTTCCTAATGCTAACAGCGGTAAGCAAAATGCCTTTATTCTGCTGTTCTATAGGAAGCAGAATTTCAAAAGTCTTTGGTTCATCTGAGGCAAAGTCAGGTTTATGCAAAACGCAGCGTCTGCTCCAAGTCTTTTTGCCTCCCTCAAGACAACTGGGTGTCGGCACAAGTAAGAAATAAGAGCAGTCTTGAGAGCACAGGGGCAAAGCGATACGCCCAGAGCATCTCCATCTGCTGTGACATGGCCACACTTCATTAGTTTTAATTTACCAAAAGGAAATTAAATGATAACATTATTTTTTCCCTAAAGCAGACTGTCTAGAGTAGGACTTCAGCTTAAAACAAATCATAGCATGTTTTTCATTAAATAACCCCCCAAAGAAATGCAAAAAGTTAACGATGGCAGCTCTGAGAGATGGCGTGCCTTATATTACAAAGTTTGAGAAGTCAAACTTGCAACATTAGCCTGAGAACTTTCTTCTTCATGATATTTTGCAGATGCCCTCTCCAGGGTGAGTCCATTTGGTAAATTTGGGGTGCTGTGGACTTCAAACTTTTATTTAGACTTGGGCATTTAGGAGAGAGTGTTTTGTTAAGAAAAATAATTCTAGTTGAAGCCTTATTTGCAAAAAATGACTTCTGAAATCTTTTCAAGTTACATTTCCAAAACACACATATTGGGTAGTGTACTTGACTAAACATGTTATTTTTTTCCTTCTATGGGGTTGCCTGTGCCTGGCTAAAGGTAGACAGATTTTTATACTGAAAACCACAAACTTTCTGGAGTTAGCCTGACCGGGTAAAGCTGGAGAAAGACAGTGCTAGGGCACAATAAGGGGCTTCTGTTCAAAGCTGAGAGCCTCATCAGCTTTTCTTTCCACTAATTTCAGTTGGGACTGGCAGGAAGAGAGAAAAGCGGGCAAAAAGTGGCCTCTTCAGGCTGAAAAGTAATGTGTATGAGTCTCAAGTTCAGTGGAGATAGGAGTTACATGGAAAAAAGCATGGAATACATCTGGAAATAGAAAATGCATATCAAAAGGCTTCCTTTCTTTTGTTCTTTCACGGAGACTCATAGGGCATCAGATTTTGAACATCTTTTAAGACCTCACACACACACACACACACATGCTCTTAACTGATGGTATACAATAGCAATAACTCTTTTTTGGCAATGTGAAAAGGGGGCAAAAAACTGTGACTCACAAATGAAATGCCTTGTACGTCTCTACTGTGCGCACTGCACAGTCCTACAGGAGTGCTCTCTATTTCAAAGCAAGCCCGAAGCTGGCTTAAAGCTCCAAATCCTCCTCTGCGTGTGGTACGAGAGCAAGACTTCACCTCCAGCTGTTGGAGCCAAATCGCCCACCCTCACGTCCAGGCAATTACCTAATCAATGCTTTACGGATCTTGAACTTGATCCCATCACGGCAGAATACTCAGTCAATTTAAACTTAGGAAAGCTCATTAATTAATGTCAAAGTAATTAGCTGACTCCTTCTACAAGGTCATCACAACCAAAGCAGCTAGGGGTGCCTCTGTAGCCATGTAGGCATTGCTATTGGACCACAAACCACCAGGCTGAGAATAAGGCTTAGAAATCTACCTTCTCTTTTCTCCACTAAATAAACAAACAAACAAAAAATGATGACTAAGTACCAGTGTATTTTCCTATAGGAAACACCTCCCCAGATTCTTGTAAACAGTGTTACCATACTCCTAACTCACCGATGACCAGGGCCTTAAAAAAAATTTTTTTTAATAGTCTAGGGATAAAGATCTTCACTGGGCTTCCCAGGTGGCTAGTGGTAAAGAACCCACCTGCCACTGCAGGAGATGCAGGAGAGGCAATCCCTGGGCCGGGAAGATCCCCTGGAGGAGGGCACGGCAACCCACTCCCGTATCCTAGTCTGGAGAATCCCATGGACAGAGGAGCCTGGTGGGCTACAGTCCACGGGGTTGCAAAGAGTCAGACTTGACTGCGCACGCACAAAGATCTGCACTACTGGGAAAATGTGAATTATTCCATTGCTGTTTCCATGTAAAAACTTTTTTTTTTTTGCCAATTAACACATCCAATTTGAAGAGGGGAGAACGAATCTCACATCTATGGCAGGTCTTTACCAGTGATTGACCCTCTACCCCGAACAAAATTTAAGAATGAACAGGTTAACTGGAGGGAGAAAAAAAATCGTCAACAACTCTGATTTAGCCTTCCGGCTCCACGGGCTAGGCCAGGCGGCAGAAATCCAAGGGGAAGCCTCCCGCCTCGCTTCTGCCCTTCAGTCTGTCTGTCTGTCCGTCCCCAGCAGGGATTACCGCTGTTTGGGGACAATGAGGTTTCTCAGCATGTCGAAGGAGTTGCCGTCAGGATGCACCGTCACCACGTCACCATTTTCCTGGTGGACCAGAAGAAACCCGGAGTCATCCAGGCCAACTATCCACACCTTTGGTCCCTCGGCGCTTCCCAGGCGGACTTGCTGAGCGCTGGAAAGGAAGAACAGCCCTCGGTCACTGGGACGCCGTGAGAAGCAGCAGCGGCTTGAGATGATTAGTTAAGTAACCATCCGTTATGGGAAAGGACTCGGGGCTGGGGGGGAGAGGAGGCTGGGCTGCGGGAAGTGAAAATGCATCTGGGTCTGAGCGCTGCCTTTCACTGGTCCCGCCTGAACGGTCTTGGTGAGTACCAGAATAACCAAGTCCAACAGGAAGTTAGGAACTGCTTCTCTTGCAAACACGGTCACTCCTAATTCTGAATGTCTGGGAGGATGTTTTTGCGCCACTTCCTTCACCCTCTAGCACTTTAAAGAAACACTGCAACCCTCCAGGCTTTTTGGCTGAGATGAGATTGGCCTCTTTCTGGCTGTTCTGCAAAGAAGACTTTTATCAAGTTGGGGTACATCGATTATAAGTTAAACGCATGCTAATTCTACTTGTTTTCAATATTTTTCCAAATGCATCTACTGAGTTATAGCCTTCTTAACAGTTTTAAAAGTATAGAATCTGCACCTCCCCATTTTTATTTTGAAGAATTTCAGACCTACAGAAAAGGGGGAACATAGTACAGCAAACCTCATGTGCCCTCTCCACTTACACCAACTGATAACATTTTCCATATTTGCAGTTTTTCCTCTGTGTGTGTGCGCACACAGTTAAGGCGGGTGGCAGGGGTTCCTGATATTTAAATATAAATTGTAGGCATCATGACATTTTAAATATTTCAGCATGTATAAGAATAAGAACGATCTTCTTAAATCCAGAATATCATTATCACTCTCAAGAAATGTGATCTTGATACATTATTGAATATCTGTCCCTGTGCAGATGTCCCCATCATCCCATTAATGTCTTTTGTGGGTACTCCCTCCCTTCCAGGATCTGATTATGAATCTCGTATTGCATTCAGCTGTCATGCCTCGTGAGTCTTCTTTAATCTCAAAAATCTCCCACCTTCTCTTTGTTTCTAAGACCTTGACATTGCTAAAAGGTAGCGGCCCCTGTTGGTCAACATCAATGCTTTTCAAACTAAGGTGCCTGAGAGCTTGCTGGAGCCTTTGTTAAAACAGGAGTGCTGGGCCCCAGCCTCAGGGGAGGAGTCAAGAATTTGCATTTCTACATGTACATTACCATATGTAAAATAGACAGCTAGTGGGAAACTGCTATGTAACATGGAGCTCAACCTGGTGCTGGGCGACACCCGGGGGCGGGGATGGGGGGAGGCCTAGGAGGGAGGGACGCATGCACACCCGTGGGACACACAGGCGTGCACACAACCCGGATGTCGTACGGGGGCGACCGACACAACACTGCAAAGCAATTATCCTCCAAATAAAAAAGTCTTAATAAAAGAAACGGAAGTCAGCAAAGGAGAAAAACAGAATTTGAACACGGGAACAAAAAACAGAAGTTTGTGTTTCTAACAAAGTTCCCAGGTAAGGCTGAGGCTGGGAGGTCTCCCTTTGAAAAATGATAGTTACCGAGAATGTTCCACAATTTTAAGATCTGCCTGTTGCCTCATAATCAGACTCAGTTTAAACACACATTGGGGCAGGAAAGTCTTCAGTGATGCGGTGTCTTTCCCAGCACATCCCACCAGGAGGCACGGGATTGCCCTGGTCCCCATTCCTGGTGATGCTCACTTGTTCAAGGTGGTATCCCCCAGGTTTATCCATCAGTCAAAGAGGATTACCCAGACCCGGGTTTAGTTTCTCACTTTAAGATGTTAAACTACTGCCTTATCAAAGGGATTTTAAGAGGATGCGGATAAGCCAGCACTGACCTGTGTACCCAGTATTTATAGTAGAGAGGAAGAATGCCATTGGGCCCCTGGTCCTGAAACGTGTCGATCAGCTTCTCCAGCACGGTCGCCGTTCGGGCGATGAGATAGTCGGCTCTCAAGGGCTGTAGCTCTGCCCCGTGTTCTTTATTGTATTCTGTGATGAGATCGTTGATGCATATGGTAGGGTTGCTGTTTGTCACATTAAATCCGCAGCCTAGACAGAAACAAATGACTGACAAGGTGAGGAGTTCAATCTACTGACGACATCACATGTCTTTCTCGACCACCTGGAGAAAAGTTACAGCTTTTATGCTCAACTTGCTGCTTCCTTGTCCTCATTTTGAGTTTTTTCCTTGTCTCTGGCCAGTAGTTAGAGAAGGACTTACATCTCGGAGTCCATCTTCCTTTTTCATCCTTCCCTTACTATCCTCATCAAACCAGAGTCATTCCAAACGTATTACACATTAGTTGGGAAAAAAAAAGCACTGGATTCAATTGAGCAGAAAGGGATGAACAGGACAAAACAGAGTTGCTTCTGAAATGATACCTCCTGTGGTCTAGCCAAGAATTGGAGCTCGGCGCTGAACCCGATGTAAAATAGAATCTCTTGTTTCTTTTTCTACTTGAATAACAGAACACATGCTTGAAAATAAAGAATTTTATTCAGGTCTTAAGGAGTAAACTCTGGATTCAGAGACTTCCAACCTCGATCATGGCATAACCCCAAACACATCTTTTAATGCTTTATCCTTGCAAGTCTTTGGTGCTAGGGTTACGCTGTTGGCAGAGGGCCAACCCATGTTCAGTGGCTCTTTCACAGGCCCCTAAACCAAGGCTTCAGGACAGAGTTACCGGCTTATCTCTTTCGTTACTTAACACCACTGTGCTCTGCCGGGTGGGGCTGAGGGGGTTAGGAAAAGCTGAGACTTAGTTTTCAGCAGGGCCCTGAATCAACCTCAAAGAGGGCTTCAATAAGAAGTGAAATACTGCAAGAACTAGGCAGTGAGCCCACCATTTTTCCAGGGCCTCTGAGAAGAAAAGTTCCCCAAATACTTGTCTTAGATGGAACAATGGCATTCACAGTAACAGTACTTTTTGGTAAATGTTCTGAGCTGTTTTCGGTATGAAGGGAAGGCTTGTCTGACCCCAGATTATTATTAGTATTTTTAAAACATATACTGGCTACTAAAATACAAACCAATGTAAATGACACCTGGGAAAAAACAAACAACTACAAAAGCAGGGAAGAATTGGCAGTTGTTCGTTCGTTTGTGCTTTTATCAACAACATACACAACAGCAAAAGTACCTGTGCCGGTATAAGGCATTCAACCACGCGTATACAGCACCGAAAAAGCTCCCCTGTACCCAGAAAAAGGACGGTCCTGGGAAAAGAGCCACATGGACTGCTGTCAACTTAGGCTGTGTCTTTCTAAGGACCAGCAGGCGCCACTGATAGTGACTTTTTGAATCTTTCCCCAAAGATGCCCTCTGTGCCCCCTGCCCACCTCCCTCGGCCTTAAGACATCCATAAAAGCTACGGATCCTCTCAGAAGAAAGTTTCGTTTCCCCCTCACTGACAGAGAATTCCTCAGCTCCCTGAAGCCATCATTTGTCCCCATTCGGAACCTCTGTATCCAGCCCAGTTACTCATTTACACATGGGAGACAGAGCTCGGAGGGGAGGAAATAACTTCCCTAGAATAACACTGCCAGTTGGCAGTGGCGCTGGAAACACGCCGTGTCTTCTCTGGCTGGCACTTCCCACACACTGTCACACGCTTTCTGTCCACTGCTGATCTCTGAACCCCACTCCAGTTCCTCTGGGCATTAGGGAGAAGGTGATGCTCGGATGACCACGGACACCTAGGAACTTCTCGAACGGCTTCTGAATCCAGCTCCTTGCCTGATGAGGATGTGCTGAGGTGAAACGGGGAATCTTTACCTCACCCTGACCAGTTTGGAGTGTCTTCTGAAGGTCAAAAAGAAGGCAACTTTTCCATGGCCTGGGAAGGTCAGATTAAGAATGCAAGGACACCCATCCTTGAAACTAACTTTTCTTTTCTTATTACCAAGTAACGAAGTGGATATTTTCATCATTTCTAATTCAACAGGAAGCAGGAGTGTAGAGAGGTGTAAGAAAACGCCTGTTTGATGAGACACCCATGTGGCGGTTTCCACGGCCAGAGGTACAAACCTTCTGAAAGGCTTTCTACCCACCTGGCCTGTTCTGTACACATACTGTGTTCTATAAGTCAAAGCCCAAAGAAAAAGAAATCCCAGATGATAATCTACTCCCCTCAATGGAGCCATGTGTGAGCCATTTTATTTCTATTAATCTAAAAATTCTGGGGGTAAGGGCTTTAAAAACTTACCAATAAGTATATAAAATGTTTCTCTCATAAGTGTTGAGTTAACCAAAACTCCACCAAGCTTCATGAGGTCACTGTAATAAATATCATTGGGCCACTTCACTCGCAAATTGATATCCTAAAAGGAAAATCTGCGTGTTAATCAAGCAGTCTCAAGACACAAAGGGACCGGGAGAGGTGGTCCAACTTAGAAAACATAAAGATGAGCAGAATATTCTAGAAACGGATAGAATAGGGAGTCTCATGTTCTCTTCTTTTTCAGACAGCTGATCACCTCTTTGGAGCAATACTTGGAGTATATTGTATTGCTAGTATTGCGGGGCTAGAGGAAGGAGACCTAAAGAACACAGGAATTTCAGTCTCCTCTCCCTCATCACTGTGTACCGTCATCAGAAACACTCTGAAGACGCCCATCATGGGAATTAAATTGATTATCCCAAGATCAATAACCACAGCACAGGGGACCATCAAATCTCAGGGAGGAGGGTGGAGAGGTGGGGGTGAATGCTCTCGGGGCTCTTTTTCCTGAAGGAGCCCCAGCTCCAGAGTGAAGGGCGGCCCTGCACTAACCCGAGTCAGGCAGCAACGTCCTGAGTAGAACAGTATGGAGATACACAGGAGCGATGCATGTTACTGAGTCAGATCACAGCACGTGTGGGTGTGAGAGCTGGACTGTAAAGAGAGCTGAGCCGAAGAATTGATGCTTCTGAACTGTGGTGTTGGAGAAGACTCCTGAGAGTCCCTTGGACTGCAAGGAGATCCAACCAGTCATTCCTAACGGAGATCAATCCTGAGTGTTCATTAGAAGGACTGATGCTGAAGCTGAAACTCCAATACTTTGGCCACCTGATGTGAAGAGCTGACTCACTGGAAAAGACCCTGATGCTGGGAAAGATTGAGAGCAGGAGGAGAAGGGGACGACAGAGGATAAGCTGGTTGGATGGCATCACCAATTCAATGGACATGAGTTTGGGTAAACTCCAGGAGTTGGTGATGGACAGGGAGGCCTGGCGTGCCTACAGACCATGGGGTTGCAAAGAGTCGGACACAACTGAGCGACTGAACTGGACTGACTGATTAGAGGATACTGAGTTTATCAGTCTCCGTGAAGTACCAATGGTCAACCTGGGTAACAGAAATAGAGCTGTCTAGTGGCCTACTGCCTCTCCATCCTGAGGGATGTGGCTTGGGCAAGGCTGCCTGTGCCCTCCCGGGAATGACCTGAGAGCAGACACTACCTTGAACTGGGCCACCTAGAACCCACCTCCTGCCATGACTGTGAAGTTAAGGCACACAGACTGGGTGCCCGACGTTTGTTTAGGCCCCTTTTCACCAGAAAACACCACGGATAAATAGACTCATCCAGTCCAATGTGCTTCAATCAAAAAGAAAGAAAAGGAAAAGAAAGGCATGCCTTTACTAGGACAGTGGACACATCTCTTAATAGCACAGAAGGGAAATTCTGGGAAATGAACACATTCCAGCAGGCCCGAAGCAGCTATCATCCTGACGGCGCTTTGAAAACTCTAGGAGCTCTCTGCTGCCAGCTTTACAAAAAGCAGGCTGAGGCTCCGCAAACAGCAGCCATTCAGTCACACACACACTACCAACACGCCTAAACGGAGATGCGCATACGTGGCAGGGATGTATCAGTGAGGAGCTGCACATACCTGGTACCCAGGGATGGTTCTCACCGCCTCTACGACGGCCAGGGACATCAGATGCTGGACAAACGGAATCCTCTGTCCCAGCGGGGATCTCAGCGGGATGCAGACCAGCAGGGTGGAAAGGGCGCATCCCAAGGGGCTCAGCCAAGCGTTCTTTCCCCGCCCTGGAACACAAGCCACGTCAGGAAGCCGGCCAGCCTGCCCTGTGACCGGACTGAGATGCACATAATGCCGGGAAATATGTGGAGGACTCAAAAACACAAATGGAGGATCTGTCTCGCTGGAACAAACAGGGACTGATGAAAATGCTTGGAGATTCTGGGGTTAACTCGACAATAGAGAAGCTCTTTAAAATCTGAAGCTCTGTGGCTGAGCAAGTTTCCGATAATGAGCATAATGTTCTGCCTCATATCATCCGTGCTTTGATGATTCAAAGTCCGACACAGTGTCTGGACATCACTCTTGGTTTAATTCTCACCATACGGCAACGCAGGCAGAAACAGAGACAGTGGGGAAACTGGACCGAACCTACACTGATCCAGGAGAGGTCCTGAAAGCCACTTTTTTAGAAGTGATCCCAATTGTGATGGTCTCATAAAAACCATAGAATTGTACACTTTAAGTGGGGGGACTGGATGGTATATGACTTATAGCTGGCTGTTATTTATTTTTTTTAAAAGGAAGCTGAATTTGAAAAATGATTCCTGATATTAACTCTGAGTTATTTTTCTTAAAAAAGTTGTTGAGGAAATAAAATAATCAAAATGAGAGGTATAATGTAATTTCTTCCCTGGCTCTTTTTTTCAAACTACCTTACGGAGCACCACAGCCTTGAATAAAAAAAATTTTTTTTTTCTTTCTTTGAGTTATGTTCAAAAGACATGCTCAGGAGAAAGAAGTGGGAACAGTGGATTTCTCATTTCATTGCTTCTTCTGGGAAAGGCATAAGAGCCTCTGAGAGTTAAAAGTTGGGGGTCTGCCTGGTACCTGCTGGGGGTAGGGAGAGCAGGGGACAGTGGCCCACGTATGATTCCTGAGCAGGAATAATCTGCTTGCGGCTGGACCCCAGGTGGATCCTGGGAGGGTCTGGGCTCCTGCCTCTGAAGGTCGGCAGGGGGTGGAAGTGCTGGACAGCCCTTTGTTCCTCGGTGGTCACTCTGTGAACAGGCCCTGAGCACTGATCGAAGGCCCCATCCATGCAAACTCCACGCCAGCCAGGGTGGGGGCTGGCAGATGAGAAACCCCTCCATGTGACACTCGGTCTAGACACGGAAGGCACCTCCCCGAGAACCTTCGGGGAAATAAATGTCTCTCTAACATAGTTATTATTCACACGCGGCAATGCCTAGAATGTGTCAGGAAGAGGAATTTACATGATGTAGGTAAAAGAACGTGAAAACCATCACAGGCGGATGTCAAGTGGTTTAATAAACATCTTGGTTTGAGGGAACACTTGAATTCTACTGGAGTTCAGTCTTCTAATCAATTTCCCTTCCTCTTCCTCCATTTTAGGGGAATGTGAAAACAAACAACTTCTAACTTGAGTCATCTCGATGATCAGCACGTGCAATCAACTGGCTCTCTGGCCACGAGAGTCACAGATTTTAGAAAACAAAAACAACAGAAACAGTAACGAAAGATGACTGACCTTTGCCCTGCGTCTGGCGGACTGCAATGGCTATTAAACCCATTTCCTGCGGCATCTCAAACATCAACCTGCAAACGATGGGAAAGACCGGTCAGCCAGAACTGGGACAGGACATGGGAACCTGCGGCTCAAGGTGGGGGACGCTGTTTGCTTTCATTCGCGATTGCGTTAGTAAGGAAGGGCCGTCTTCAGGTTTCGAGGGATACTGAGCCCGTTCCCAGCTTCTGGAGTGAGAATGATGGAAAAGGGATGCAGGAAATTTACTAAACCTAAATTTAGTAAACACCATTTACTAAAAAAAAAAAAAGGTGGACTGGGAGGTGGGGCACGTGTACCTGCCCAAGCTATCATTCAGTTTATTCAAGACATTGTTAGGTTATATTTCTTCGGAATATCCTATCAAATTCCTCCCTCCCCCGCTGAGGTGGTGTCCCCTTCTGCGAGTGACAACTAGCAATTCCTGACATTTGTTTCTACTTACGGCGTGTTTCTGTCTGCACACTGGAACATAATCATAACAGAAGTTTCTGATTATTCAGAAAACTAATATGGTGGCAATAAAGCCGTTTAAAAGACACACTATCCCCCGAGAACTAATTATGTTTTAACTATAGTAAATAAATCTACACCTTCTGAGAACTCAGGAGAACCTTGGATCCTTTTAGGCTTGAGTTCTGCTTTTAAAATGGTTTTTATTTAAAAGAATACAAACTTCCCTTTGGGGGAAGGGTAGAAATGTGCACTGTATCTCCAGCAAAAGAGTCAACATAAACTTTTTCCCCCCCAAGAAAAGGGGAAAAAAACCCCACAAAAACCCTCACTCTGAGAATTTCCTCCCCAGCTCCATTCTATGTATTCAGCTCACACAGGGAAGGCTTTCCTCTGCATTCCCAGCAAATGAGCAGGCATAGCTCTCGATGCGCGCTAAGTCGCTTCAGTCCTGTCTGCCTCTTTGTGACCCCATGGACTGTAGCCCGCCAGGCTCCTCTGTCCCTGGGATTCTCCAGGCAAGAGCACTGGAGTGGGTAGCCGTGCCCTCCTCTCGGGGATCTTCCCAACCCAGGGATCGAACCTGTTGTCCCTTCCATCTTGCACTGGCAGGCGGGTTCTTTGCCACGAGTGCTACCTGGGAAGCCCCCTAGCTCTCAGTAGGACTTATTAAACAAAGTAAAACATCAGACCTGTCGCTGCAGCCGCCAGGATGTCTCTGAAATACTTTCTGGGGGTTGAGGGGAGCAGCAAGGGCAGGGGTGAATGGCGACGTGGTACTCTTCCGAGGATGGGCTCCAGAGCATCCCTGCGCTAAGAGGGACCACGCTCGGAAAGAGCTTCCTCCTCTCTGTCAGGCTCGGGGAACAGAGCGGAGCGTTAGACACAGGGAGGGAAGGAAAACCCTTAAAGGCCTAAACACCCAGAGCGCCCCTCTGTGACCCTGGCGGGCAGAGCCTCGCGGTGCCCCAGCGCGGTGAGGGGGAGCCCTTGGCTGGCTGAGAAGAGCCCGGCCACCCGGGACAGGGGCCGGGCCGAGCCGACAGGCACAGGGCTTGCCAGCGAGCAGGCAGCCCCCTTGTCTGGGTGCCAAGCCCACTTCCATCTCGCATGAAATACAGCTCCAGAGGTATTTCTCTTGGACACCATGAATAACCCATTGAGATCGGCTCTGCTTATATGCTGCTGGGCTCCAAGAATAAAGCGTCCTTTTCTTGCATGGAAAATTCAAAGAAGGACGCTTTGTCCATGCGGGGAGATAACATTGTCCTCTCTGGCTCAGCAGAGACCCAGCCACCTTCATCTGGGCTCCGAAGGCTGCCGGGCTCTGGGGTGGAGGGGGGGAACACCTAACGAAGTTTTCTATGCAAAGGGGATTGGGGGGAGCAGTGATTTTGCACATATGAGCAGATTGCAAAGGCTCTTTCCATCTCGGATGTTCTGTAAATAAACAGGTAGATGGAAGCCCGTCATGTCTAGAGCCAGCCACGGTGATGGTGGAATTAGGCGTGGGGAGGTGGGAAGGTTCAGAAACCAAACACAGGCTTCCAGAACAAAGAAAAATGATGAAGGGAACATAGGCACTAAACTTGCTGGAAGCTTGGCAGCAGTGAACAGGGTGTATTGATGAGAAGACTGAGCTTGGGAAGCTGAAGGCCAAGAGGAAATTCTGCGAGGACGGAAACAATGAAGTGGGGGGGGGGGGG